CTAGACATTCTGATATTAAAGTCTGTTTTAAAATGACATTAATAAGAAAAGAGGAAGATGAAGAAGCTGGAGAAGAAGAAAAAAAAAATTCTATTCGGAAAGAAAACAATTTTTATTTTCAAATTTCTAGACTATTACAGTACCGCAAAACATTCTGGAAATGTCGGCAACCACTTTTTTGTCGCTCAATAAAACAACAACTAAAAATTTTTTTTTCTTGCTATCATAGTCTGTACTGAAAACAGAAGAATAAAGAAAGGAAAAAGAAATCTAAAACTGGAAAATCATAAGTTGCGTATTTTGTTGAAAAACCCGGAACGAAAATTTGACGACAAAATTATCTGAAAGATTTTTTTTTGGTCATCGTTCTACCACTGCTCAATTTTCATCTCATCTAATACTCACCTTTACTAACAGCCATATTTCTGACCATCTAGTCGTCACTGCTGTCACCATCTGATCACTGTCGTTACTTAAATCCCCACACTTGTCCCATCTGTTTGAAATTTTTTCCGCCTTTTTTTAATACTATCACAAAATTAATATTGATTGATAGAATCCTCTCTATACCAGAAAAAAAAAAACGAAAAAAAAAGAATAAAGAGGTAAATAATACGGTTTAGTGTCACTAGAAATCAGAATGGCACTAACTTTTACGTCATAACAAAAAATAGCATCATAATCAACAGCATCACTATTTTTATTTGATTTGCCACTAAGTTTTCTTTTTTAAACATTTTTTACTACAATAATGCCCAGCAATTTGAGAAATAGCACCAAAGACGGCATCACAGATGATCAACATTGAACACAACTAGTAATATGTACTAGTATTAGCAGCAGCGGCAACAGAACCAAAAGCAAAAGCAGAAGCAGCAGCTCAAAAGTCTACCTGCCAAGTGCCGACCGCTGTTTGAAGACCAAAGAACCATAAACCGAACTAATTTAAAGCGTGCTTGAAACGAGACGTCTAGACCGGTGTTCAGAATTTTGCTCATACACCCATATTGGCACGTCCATCTCCTCCTTTTTCACCTTCTTTGAGAGGTTCCTTTCTCCCTATCTCTTCCACTGGATGCGAAATGAAAGAAAATGTAAAAGAAGAAAGCTTACTAATTTTAAGAGGTTCAAGGTAACTGGCGTCATTGCATGGAAAAAAAGCAGAGACAAAAAAATCTCAAAATCAACTTGCTGAAACGTAAGGAGTAAAATTGAGAAAGAAGAAGTAAAAAGCAGAAAACTGAATATTGCATTTAGTTCTATTTTAGCGCTTATATTTCTTTATTTCAGACAAAGAGACAATTGTTTCGCACCGTTTTACAAAAATATCATTAACATTTATGACATTTTCATCTCAGACAGAATTTATTTAAACCATACATTTCTTCATTAGCCCCTCCAAAAAAATAAAACTGTTTCTTCAATATTCTCATTCTCGCAACAGTACAAAATAATACCTTCTACCTTTTGCATTCGTTTGATTCAGTGAAGTAAAAAATCAGGCAAAAAAACCAAATAAATTTTTTCCAATTTCAGGAACCAACCTTGAACTCAACCAATCAGTTCACTTAACAATTGAAAATTGTCAAAAAACCAAAAATTTTAGCAACACGTTGGTATACATCAGATTTATACATCAGATTAACTGTTGGATGAAACAACGGACCTACAGCACCATCTACGACGAATCCAATCAATTAGTTGGAAAGAGAAAAATGTCGTCATTCTGCTGACAATTTAGTCTAAGGCACAGACAAATTTTTTTGATGATAACACAAAAAACTGAAGCTTATAAAGCTTGAATCAACTTAGAATTCCGCTGTTTCAAATGAATTTTTAGAAGCCTGCCGATTTCTCGTTGTCCAGCCAAGATGAGGAAATACGATGAAATCACTGCAGCGATAATTCCGTAAACCTTGTTTTCCTGCTTCATTCAGAGCCTTTTAAATTTCCAATAAAAGAGAAGGTAAAACAAACTCAACCGAACAACTTAATCAATCTGCTGTCTACATAAATCAAGCTTTTGATCCAATCTC